AAACTGTGACAGTACGCGTTCTGACGCGTTATCCGCCATGCCCATGGTGGAAAAATTGTGAACGTTGAGGCTTGAAGCGTCCGTTTTTTCTTTATGGATGACATGAAGGTCACATTTTGAATTATCGAATGACTGCATTTACTGACGTAGGCCTTGTATTTATGTTCTGCGTATTTGAGAATTTGGCTGATACAAGATTCTACAGAATGACAAGAGGACTGTAAACAATCAGATCAATGCTACATCGATCCTTTGCTAGAAGTGTCTTTGTACTTTTTGCCACTGATTAAAATCAACAAAAGTTCAGACACAAGACAAAACAGATACTTACAGTACCTCTTGGGAAGTCTCGGCGCAAGGAAGTTCAAGAACTGTGTTTCCGTGTGGATCAATTAACTTTGCGGTCATGACGCGCTCTACCCACTTCATATCATTAAGCTGATATGGTTTCGGCACTCCCGTGTATATGTAGTATCCTGTGTAACCCCCGGAGTCCTCTTTCCCCAACCCTGTCACTATAACGAGAAAAGTTACGTGCTTATCTTCCGCAGAAAATTGCGGATTGCCTCGCCACTCGTGAACGGTTAAATCTGGAGTATCGGAGATTTTCCTCGCGGAGAGGTGTAACAGAGTTTGTACGTTTACTCGAGCGATCTGCATGACACCTTCGTCCACTGGTTGTGTACCGTGGAACTGCACAATGATATTGGGCGAAGTGCTTGGCTTTACAGTCTCGACCTGAAGGGAAGAAGGCTGTTGAGGATGATGGTCAGAGAGGCGCTCTGCAAGTAGTAACGAATGGTACTGACGTTTTGAATAGGGGACCCTAGTGCAACACAGACAAGCCCGAAGATTCCCAGAACGACACAGAGTGAGATACCATATGGTTGAGTGCAACGCATAATGAACAGCAGCGATAGGTGAGGTATACAAGTAGTATGAAAGAGATGATCAAGGTGGGAGGCGACCGTCTAGACCTTTCAAGAGAAATTGTAAATGTTGCTGAGCTTTTGACCTGCAAAAGGCTCTAGAGACCAGAGACGGCCAAGGATGGAAGACGAAGATGAGGGTTGATGTTTTGCTTTTATGTATCAAACCTTGCAATAGCCGATATCAATGGATGCTATGCACCATCGATGAACTCACATTCTAAAGGGTCTGATGAGGTTTGATAGATTGATCATTGTACAGTCGCCATTCGCGAAGCCGACGCGTCACATCTGCACCGAACCAGGAGAGCACACTAGTGTTTACATACTACTTCGGCTTGATACGAGTATATGTCCGATGTCTCATTCACTCTCCCAGCTCTAGGTCTTCATCATCAGACCGTGTTGGAGTCTGAACTCTGAAAACCGAAGGAACAATCGTCAAATAAGAACAAGTCACTGATTCACGGTTCAAGCTGGAACCCACCGTTTGTAAGATCCTATCCTCTGGTACTTCCAAGTTAAGCAATACATTTCCTTGTGGACCAGTCACTTTTGCATTCAATATGCGCTCTATCCTCTCATTGGACTTCACGGGCCTTTTCTTTTTGGATTGTGGGTTTCCAGGCTTTATTTCTTTCGGTACTGGTAGCGCTCCCGAGTAAAAGTAGAAGCCCGTATAAACCCCCGAGTCTTCTGGTCGCAACCCACTCACGGAGGCATCGAAAGTGATTCTATCTGGGGTCTCTGTCGATCCTTGAGGTTTCTCATTTCAATGAATGGTGTGAATGGTTAGATCGGGAGTACCGTCAATCTTTCCTGAAACTTGATAGAGTAGAGCTTGGATTTCTATTCTGGCTGCCCGCGTCGCTGCTTCGTCCGCGGGGGCTTGACCGTGGAATGTCACATCCACTATGGGGTGAGGTTTCAGAGAGAAAGTCGAGGTCGATGGCTAGTAAGGAGCATATATTAGTAGATACAGGCTGGTACAGATGGGCATTTGCTTACATGCTCTGGGTTGGGTGGCAGGGCAGCAGTCAACGCAACGGAGACGCAACCGAGTATGATGAAAAGGTTGAGCATGATATCGTACCACCAATCGCGATGCATAATGGAGAAAACAAAAAGGTGACGGGATTTGGTAGCGGGAGGTGTTGCAGGATGTTGCTACGTATACGCCGAGAGGATCAAGGACGGGGAGAGGGAAAAGTTGATGTAAATGGTTATTGAACGGATTCCTTCGACCTTCGTGTAGATAACTAACGACCAGCGTAAGTAGGAAGTCGTAGAATTGAGAGATGATATATAAACACCTACCTTCCTTTATGTAGGCGCGGATGATGCGGTATCAATGCGATGCAGGCCCACAGTTTCTGCCTAAGGACGCGAAGTATCCATCGATATCTCTCTGTATACCGGCGGCGGCTTCTTCAATAGATTGGTAGATATATACGGCGCCATCCGAAGATGTGGTCCCAAAAGCGGAACAGTCGGTCTCTTGAGGCAATAGTGTAGGACATTACATAGTTGGCCCACCGGAAGGAGAAGAGGGAAACTGGCAGGGCCGGAAAAAGTTCGCACTAAGAACATATTGGACAGTCTCCGTCGGTGTCGACAGGTGCCGGTGACGACCAAGAAGTTTCACAACGACAAGTCGACGACCATCGTTGTACTGAGAATGTTATGTAATCGCCGCTGCCGATTTCTCAGCTTGGATTTCTCATTTTATTTTAGAACCGAGTTCTCTCCGATGTATGAAAGAAACTGTGGTATCTCGTATCCTCAAATGCGTAATAGCATTGGATGCCGGTTGAATGCGAGAAATATTCACAGGTCCCGGACTTGATCGATATCGAAAACCTTTATAAAACCTTTTTAACTTCCATCCAAACAACGTTTCTCTTTGCAACCCATCGTCCCAATACAAGATCTCAATTGACAATGTCAATCAAAACAGTCAAACTTGGGGGTACCGCTTCAGACATAACAGTTGGTCCAGTTGCTGTGAATAAATCCCTCATCACGATTGACAAAGGACTTGCTCTGACTATTAGTTTTCTAGCACGGTTTGATGCTGATGACGTGCGCGGGCTCACTTGTACGGTCGTACACATCCTGACCAGACAATATGCAGATGGACTCCCAACCCAGTCAGTGACGAGCAAGCTTTTGAATCTATCAAGGCCGGCGTTGACGCCTTACCGACTGGGACCAAAGCTTTTCTGAACAGCAGTACGTACAGCAGTCTTCAGCTCTTGTACCCATTCTGATCAGTGGTTTCTACCCAGGCGAATTTTATGCGATGGATTTCGGTACTGCTAACCTGGAATTACTGTCCCGATTCTACGCAAAATACCCGGACTACGCAGACAAAACATTCCTCTCTGTGAAAGGTGGCGTTCGTAATGGAGGCCCTGATGGCTCGTGCGTATATTTGGTCTGGATATTCGCTTCGAGCTCTAACATTTGATTCACAGTATGGAATGCTTGAGGGCCAGTGTCGATAAGATTCAAAGCGCTCTCGGACCCAACAAGAAACTCGATCTCTTCGAACCCGCTCGCATTGACCGCAAAACTCCTCTCGAAACCATCATGAACAACCTGGTCACTCTTGTCAAGGAAGGCAAATTCTTGCACATCGGTCTTTCGGAGTGTAATGCAAACACTTTGCGTAAAGCTAACGAGGTAAGCTGTCGTCATGTGTTTCTATTAGTTCGTTTTTCTTCGATTGAGAGATATTGCACTAGATCTATCCTATAACCGCGGCCGAGATCGAAGTCAGTCCGTGGTCCTACGATCATAATCAGAAGGCGGTTATTTCTACTGCACGCGAACTGAACATCACTGTTGTCGCATATTCGCCTTTGGGACGAGGCTATCTGACTGGTCAGATCAAATCTACCAGCGACCTTCCCGGTACTCGATATTTGCCTTTTTCTTATCACTCCCTTTGCTGATAAGCTATGCTATTCAGAGGGTGACATTCGCTCTCGTTTGACGCGATTCAAGGAGGAAAACTTCAAGGCCAACTGGGCTATAGTCGAGGGTTTGCAAGTTATCGCCAAGAAGAAAGGTGTTACTCCCGCACAGTTGAGTATAGCCTGGGTTGCTTCGCTCGGACCACACATGCTACCGCTTCCAGGATCCTCGTAAGTTCACTTGACCTTTCATCTTCTTTGTTTGATTCAATGTTATTTACTCCCGCAGGAAAGCTTCCCGCACTCTCGAGAATTTGAAGGCTGGAGCTCTTGAACTCACTCCTGAAGAATCGAAAGCTATCGACGAGGTGATCACCACCAATCCTGTGTTCGGTGATAGGTACTTCGGTTCAGACGAACAGGCTCATCTCTGGGGGTAAATGTAATTAAGCGTGAAGAGTAAATCTCCTTGTACTTCTAGGACAAAACAAATAAATCAGTCGCTCGAACAAATCACTGTCGTGCTTTCATGATTTTGTCTCGCTCTGCTGGCGTCTCCATATCTTTCCTCGTCGGTGTTAGCAATGATGGTGAGTTGTACAGTGTTCATATATATTTATAAGTATTTCGACACGCTTGAAGCCTATGTTTTATCATTTCTTCTACCGGTGTTCGTACTGTGCTTATTTCAATTATCTCGAAGTTCAGCTTGAGTAGCGGTGAAGGGACCAGTGATGCTCTCCCCACCTGCTACTATGTTAGAGGAAGTCAACGACGAACCGCCCGGGGGGAGAAGAACCAATGTCTCTTGAAGAAGCTCTACATAGTCCTTGAAAAGTCTGCTCAGTTCGATGCTGGTTATTTTCCATCTTGATGTTTCTAAAATACTTTGTTGGCTCATTGCATTCAGGTCTTGTCTCCGTCGAGAACCTTTGAATTTGTGAGCGATCTGCTCTATCAAAAAACGGGTAGGTCACAAAGCTCATTTTAAATATTTGCATTCAGGTCTTGAGACCTTGAAGGAGATAAAAGAAGGCTGAATCAGCGCTCAAATCGAGCCGTATTAAAGGAAGGCGTGTTTTACAGAACAACTTGAAATACATAGATAATTTCGTCCGACTCTGAGGCTTCTCTGTATCCCATGACAGAACATCCGACCATAGCTCAGCTGGAAGAGCACAAGACTGTAATAGGGTTCCTTCTTGATCTTGGGGTCGCCTGTTCGAGCCAGGCTGGTCGGACTACGATAAGCAACGTTGCCTTATTCTGTGGGTCCCTCATACTGGAAAGTAAACGGTTTATATTTTTGAATTCATCGGATTGGGAAGGATTTAATATACCGGAGCACCCTATGTCGAAGCCGTGGGTCCTTTTGGATCGCAGTATTGGTTTTCCCGTAAGTTTTAAATCTGTCTCTCCCTGTGTATGTAGGATTCGAGTAGCCATTAAATAAACAAGGACTTGAGTTGGTCACAAATAATATACGGGAGGATCATTTATCTTTTGTGGTTCTTCTTTAGTCTTGAGGAAAAAGATCATAGTGTATGTCTTCCTAACTCTCATTACTTATACCAGTTGTTCAATTTTTTCCAATACTATTGTCCGTCCTTGTCCTCCCTGAGATGCTGGTCCTTCATATGTTTGATTGAAATCAGGGACCCTGCGGTTGTTCTACACCAATCGGAATAATCAGAATGCATACCACTTGCTAGTGAGATTGATGCCAACAACCACTCACTGAAACATGGTCCATGGAAGAATTTTCTATCTCATTCGTCTGCCTTGCACGGAAGGCAATTAAGCGGGACGGATTCATATTGGGCAATGACTTGTCACTCTCACGGCGTATATACACCCTAGCATTGAGTCTGATCATTCAAATTTGGCATTTTGTTTGAGAATGGTAATGGTTGAAGATGAGGAGACTGACTGTGCCAAAAAAGTATTTGTGTATGCTAAAGAATTTCAATGTTAGCTGATCCGTCCTCATTCGGAGATGGATTTCAATGTACCTTTGGAGGTCATGCAAAGGAATGCATAATAAACAAGGGTCTTTGGGGCAGCAAAAAACTGTCAATGAAAGAAGTTGTATGAAGCTTGAATCACGAAGATTCTAGAAACCATTTACCGTGATCACATCGCTGACAGTGATGATACTTTTTGATGATCAGGTATTGATTATTTGCTTGCTTCACCAGATGGCAAATTGGTAATGCACAAACCTTGTTACTATGTTGTTTGCAATCAAGTATACACTCATGTACATGATGATTCTCCGTGTTCTGTTGGGCTCAAATATTAGCTTCACATAAAAGAGTCAAAGAAAGAAATTCATCACTTTGGGAAGGTCTCAAAGCCATGATTACTCAAATAAAGCTGAAGACATAGTGTAATTGTGATAGTCACATCCAGTGCTGCAGCGGAAACATTTGCACCAATGTCGGTCCACTAATATCTAATCAAAACAATGTTCAAATAGAATATAAGCCAGCTTACACGAAGAGCCTGAGTGACATTCTCAATACTTCCTCTGGTTGTAAAGCTTTCAAGCTGTTGATGAGAAATACTTCCAAGAATAAATATTCACTCACCCATGGATTGTTGCATCTATGTAGTGCAAATTAGCACCACATGAGCATCAATCTTACAATTTATGTGATAAATTCACTCACAAAGCCCCAGTGCTAAAAGCAGGAGGATGAGTCAATGTGAGACCACCAAGCAACAACTGAATTACCACTTACCCCAGCTAAAGAATGTCACAACCCCCTAGAATTAACAACAAATAGAGCCATCTGAATATAACGTGTTCACATTTCTTTCTGAGGTCAGCACATACCACAATAACAGCAATTGGTGTCAAACGTTGATTAACTTTTGAAAAGGCAGTCCGGTCATCAGTGTACTCGGAAGTTGCTGATGAGAGAAAATACAGACTGGTTCGGATGCGGTATGCCATAAATCTGGGTAGCAAAAAACTAGAGTTAAACAGCTGTCATTAGTCAAAATATGTAGAAAGCCTCATACAGATGTACTGCTGTGGATATGGTTGCCTTCCAAAAGTTTGAAAATAGGAAGATATTCCAGCTTGAGATTGGAAATACTTACTGTTACTACAGGTTCAGCCTGTAAAAGTATCCATTATTTCTAATTCTGCTTTCCCTAAAATCAAAACAGACAAACGTTTATGCTCCTATTTCCAGTCAATATCAGGTTTCTGCCGAAGGTGAAAAGTATATACACATACCAAGGCACCTCCAGTAAGGCCAATGGATTGGCAAAGTTGGCAATAGACCATGTCCAAAGCCCGTTTACAACCAGAAAAAGGTCAAGAGTATCTAGAGCCCTGTAAGTAGTGGCGATACAAATTCTCAGGTTAGAAATTGTGAATTCATCGGAAATCCGTTGTCTCACCATACAAATAAAACCTGATGATAAATGCTAGCTTGAGTATACGGAGTTGTTTGTGTAAGTATAGCAGCAATCACCACAATTCGAATGAATTTCTTGTCATCTGGATACGTTTGAAACTACAGGTCATGAACATGAGAAATGAATGACCGAAACAATATTTTGACATACATAAAATATAGTCTGTAAGATGGTGACCCCGTAAAAGCTATGGTGATTGCGTTAATGACCTGTGATGTGCATTTCGAGTCATTAAAATATACATACACTGATGTTGCAATAACTCCACAAAATAGAGCACCGATGGTAGGTCTGATATCAATAATGACAGGTATGGCAGACATAACGGTCAATGAGGTGAGGAGAAAGGATGATGGTGCTCCGGTCCTCGCAGTTACAGTTCTTTTTATACCAGCCCTGTGTACTGACCGAAGTTTCATATCTGATACATGGATTCATGATGATCCGGTACCAAGCTGCTATTTCCAAACAACAAATGAGCAGGCAATGCTTGTGAGAGTGTGTGAAGCGCAGGTTGATCCTATTTATACGGGCCGAAATTCGAGGTTGAATCTCATTGAAGTTGCGTTGAAGTGGGCTCACAGCATTAGCGATCTGAAGGACGGATAATCAATTTCAGCTTGCCCCATGAGACTTCACCATCTGAATCGCCTTGGAATGCTATGCCATGATACTAGTGCACAAATAATGTACCGTCCGGATTCAATGATGGAAGTTGCGTTGGAGGTGATTGTTCAGATTCGGAATTCAAAGTATGCCGGGAACGATGATCATGTTGTTTGATGATGGCTAGTACGTTAGGTTGAACCTTCGTCAAGCAGTGGCACCCTTGATATTGACCAACAGATTTCACCAACACCGTCCTTCATAATTCCTCTCTCACTCATTATTTTTACTCTTGGATTGACTTTTCAGTCTCGAAGCATTCGGATATCCTACTTCATTGCTCTCCTTAGCACCTCATACCTCACAATCTTTCGCAGCAGCACCGGGATTCCTCCGCTGAATTATGCCTACGCCACAGCATTAGGCTGCTTGACTTTTCAAGCACTTGATTTCCTTGTTCTCACCAACCCTTACTCGGAGCTACATATTGTAGGTGATGAGAAAAACATATCCGAAAAACCTTTTTCGACGCGTTTTCTGTGGGCATGGAAGCTTGTTTTATCACCTCGAGGAATCGGATGGAGTCACGAACCGAAGGATATCCTTCCTCCACATCCCAAAGCTCAGTCTCGGGTTTCATTCATTTCATCCCAGTTCCTTTCGACCATACCATGGATTTTCATTGGTGACGCTGCTAATCTTGCCTTGCGAAGCCATCCAGGCTTTCAGTTAAACGGTCCATCTATTTCCAATGTTGGTCCGTTTATGCGCATCCTGAATGTTTGGATATTCGCGCTCCCAGGTGCGGCGACGTTACAGTTGCAGTATAAAATGTTTAGTATTATTGCCACTGCCGCTGGATTCTACCGCCCTGAAGATTGGCGAGCTGTTTGGCAAATAGAGCGATGCATACACTATACGTCGATTCTGGGGACGAACATGGCATCAAATCATGAGACGTTGGGTTTCCGCTCCAGGAAACATCGTTGCGCAGCGCTTTCTGAATCTGAAGCAGGGAACAAAAATGTCAGCATACACAAAACTCTTCGTTGCGTTTCTAATTTCAGGTACCATTCATCAAATGTGTGACTACTCGCTTCAACATCGGGATTTCTGGGTAGGCGGAAGCTTTACCTTCTTCCTATCACAGGCTGTAATGATAATTCTCGAGGACAGTGTTATCGCAGCTGGGAAGAGGTTGGGCATTCGAGCTGGATCCTATTTGCGCATTCTTGGATATATCTGGACTTTGGTCTGGTTCGCTATCGCTCTTCCTATTTGGTTAGACCCTTACTTCCATGATGGAATGGCTACCAGCGAAGGGCTCAGTGTAATTGGGGCATTGTGGAAGAGGGACTGGACGGGTTCGTCCGTGAACCTGTCTCTTCCACTTAGTTATTAGATGCCACTGTATCAAAAATTCGAGTGGGAGCTTTCGATAGGTCAGAATTTTGCTTAGTATTCTATTTCCCCAAGCTTCGTTCCCGCTAGACATTGGACAATCAATCTTCATCCTATACGTCCATCTCACCTTGGTCTGTTCTTGTAAATAGAAAGACCTGTCTCACTAATCAACCAACCAAAGTACTCTACAAAACTTATTCTACTATCCTTTCATTAGTGACTCCTTCATTCGTCTCACCCATCACGCGATGACCACTGCGACTCAATATATATCGCTTTGATCAACCCCATTTTGAGGATTTGCAATGTCTTTAAGCGTTTGCTGGTCTCATCTGCCAAGACACTACAGTATCCATCAGAATTTGTACAATGGAAAGTGTCACTTTCCGTAATCATATAACCCTTGTACATGACAGTGAGCTGGGAGGCATCCAATGAACTTGTGGTGCTTTCCAGTCTCAGATGGCTCGTGGGGCATAGGAAAATGGCAAATGATAAAAAATTATGATGAGAAAAAAACCTATATTCATGAAACAAATTAAATGTAATCTGGGGGCGATTGGGCCTAGTTGATGTGTTTGGTGGTGATGGAGCTCATGACACATGTGGAAAAAAGCACTGAGCAGACATTGGTTCCGCTGGGTCGGGCTCCAGTGGATTGAGTTTCAATTTCCTCTTTGGAATGGTAGTGTTTTGGAGCAATATCTGGGGAAAAGATAGGATCATCGTGTAAATAACCTCGAGAACTTAGGTGGAGGTTCCATATGTTGATCGAGGTTGCAACATCACTGGTGTGATT